TTCAAGAGAACAGCCTAGAACACTTGTGCAGAAGACATGGTGAGGGCATGGCTTGGGCAGTGAGTGGACTGTGGCTGTTACCCACCTCCTTGTTGTGTGGTGAGCCACCAGTTTGTGACCTGAGCACAGCACACCCCTCACAGGGTCTTTGCCAGGCATTAGGCAGGGAACCCTGGTGCTCTTCTACCAGGCAGGCCCTGGAGCTCCTGAGCTAGACAGCCAACAGTCTTGGGACACCACACCTGGGTGGTGCCTATACTGTGACACTGGGAGAACAACTCAGAAGTGTGGAGGGTTGCTAAGAAGCCAGCCATCCTGGCCAGCAGCTGTGATCACCACAGAACCACAGCGGATGTGAGAGCTGCAGGCTCCTTGGTAGATGCAACACGAGGCTGTTCTGAAGTATGAGGTCACATGTGGTAGGTGAGTTGGGGGATGGCCCTGGGGTCCTGGGTGCTTTGTCCTGGAGTGGCAGGCAGGGCAGCAATTTGCTGTAAGCTAGGTAGCTTCATGGAAAGGGGAGCTGTTCAGGCCATGGCTGGGGCTGTTGGGAGCAGATAGTTGGGAGGCCAGAGCCTAACTGGAGTTTCTGAGGCACTGGTGAGGAACCTGCAACACGTACAGAAGCTGGGATGTCTCAGGCATGGGGTGCTTTCTGCTCACAGTACCTAGCAATTTTCAACCCACTATGTCCCAAAGAGACACACTTACTGTATTTAAATGTGTGCACGGGGCAGCTTGTCTGGTCCCTTTCCTGGGCAGCACTTTAGGAGGGGTGAGGCTGAAGGGACCCACAAGGGGCAGTCAGCTCAGAGGCCTGGCTCCAAAGGGCAGGGATTCCTGGGGTGGGGGTTGTTCTGCCCGACCACCCACCTGCCTGAATAAGCGCTGTGATTAGGCAGCCCTGCAGGATGGCGGGGGCACGGGCTTCAGGATCCCAGAGATGAATTCTGCTTAATTATGTTCACGCTGAAGTACTTAGAGAAAAGTATACAGATGTCTGCAATTTACTTTAAAATGCATCAAAAGAATAAAACGGACTGATGGCTGGCAGAGGGCCGGGGAAAGATGTCACACAGCAGCGAGTGACGTGCTTCCTGAGGACGTAGGTGGTATGAGCGGGCGTTCACTGTGACATTCCTGCCACTTCTGTGTGCTTGAAGGCACTTGTCAGAAGAAGCAAGAAATTCCAGCAGGACTAGGTTTAAATACTGACCACCCCTTTTACTGATGGTGACAATGGACCCCTTGCCATTACCAGGTGGGGACATGCCCATTCAGCTGGGAGGACACTGTCCAGCGCAGCTGGGCCATGTTACTGATGAGCTTCCCACAGCCAGTCTGCGCACTCAGCAGGCTCACTCCCTACAGCTCCCAGATCCAGCCCATTCGAGCCATGAAGGTGGGAGCAATGCACGCTGTCACCATGGTGAGGCAGTGAGGACAGAGGTGCTACTGTGAATACCAGTAATCCCTGGATGTGTGGGGCCTTGGAGGGGCCCAAAGATGGGTTGCAGGAAGACCCATAGCCTTGAGGAGCACTACTATGAGGAGGGTCATGCCTACAGAAGGGTCACTGGCAGTGTGGGTATTAGAATGAAAGGCAGGGCAGGGGATACTGGGGGCTGGCTACACTCAACCATATTCTTGGTTCTCAGTCTCGAGCCAGTGCTGGTGAGGGGGCCAATGGCCCAGAGGCCCAGGATAGGAGGGCCAGCATCCCAGTTAGGCAGTGAGGGGAGGACCCAGTCACCCTTCATGTGCCAGCTAATGGGGGGGCACACTCAGTTTCCCCATCACTAATTAGAGCTCCTGCAACTGGAGGACAGCAGCTTGCAAGTCCTGAGCTTGCCAGCTACCTAGGGGGAGGTCCTGTCGCGCAGGCAGCCCCCAGCCCCTGTCCTACCAGGACTATACTAGGAATGTATAAGGTAATCTTGGCTGGTGCAGAAATGCCAGTGACCCTCAGGGACATCCAGGGAGGATGGTCTCACTGTGGCCAGTATGATGACCTCTCCCTCAAGCATATGTGTGCGCTCACACACAGCTCCAAGAGGTAACTGGAGTTTCACTGCCTCACCAACCAGCTGCGAACTAATTACAAAAAATTCTAACTAGTCAAGCGCCCTCTCCAAGCATATGTTCCCAATTAAGCCGAACTGCAGCTGATTTTAATCAATCTTCCTTGAAGCGCCGACTTGAAGATACCCTCCTCCTTCAGAGGGAAGGAGGGAGCAAAGCAGGAGACAGCGTGTCAGGACAGGCACTCCAGGGAGGACATGCTGCCCGATGGGCCCTCTGTCCTGCAGCTCTGAGGTCTGCATGGAGGAGGCCTGGACTCCCAGGCACTGTGGCCAAGCTCCCAAGAAACCCCAGGACAAAGTTTTGGGCTGGCTTTTGGAGGATCTCAGGTATCCAGGATCAGAACAGACATGTCATGGGGACAAGATCTTTGCCCTCAATGATGGAAAAGGCAGGGAGAGCCAGTGGTTGGCAGGAGCATTTACTGAGCACCTACTACGTGCCAAGGGTGGAAGTAAAATCCTAGCATGTGATCAAGGCCTCTCACGTGGGCATTATTGCTTCAATTTTATAAAGGAACTGTTGAGGACTCACGTGGAAAATCCAGTTTCCCTGAGCCAGATACTACCTTCCATTTTTCCAGAATCAGTCTGAGTATATCCATATTATAGTCTGCTAAGTGGGAACCACATCTTTGCTTGTCAATAGTGCTTGGCAGGGCTGGAGAAATGGCTCAAAGGCATAGCACCGCCTGGCAAGCGTGAGGTCCTGAGTTCAATTGCTAGTACCAAGAACAAAATAGTGCTTGGCACCATGGCTCAGAGAGAGGCATCTTCATAATCCAAATAAATGGAAGATGAGAGGCCAGCTCTGGCATTGGGGTTGAACAGGAATTGTCCCTTGCCATTGCCACCCTGTTCTAAACCTCTCACTGGCCCAAGCATGACCATAGCTGGAGTTATATACAGCAGCCCAGCTGGAGGGGTCCATGACTGCCTGTGTTGCGGGGGTTGGGGAGCGGTGGGGGGCAGTGGGGGACTAAAACTGAGAGTGGTGACATGGAGATGACACTTGGGCTGCCCAGGCCATAGCTACTTCCAGGCTACCCTCCCAAAGGTGGTCTTACAGGGTGTGAGAAAATTGAGAGGCAGGCTGGGACACAGAGGGAGAAACACAGCATTCAGCCTTTGGGCAAGGTCTCCTCACCAGGGAAATAGGGCTGCAGTATCTTGCCCAGCACAGTGGAGATGGCCAGCTATGGGTTGAGGTGTTGGACCATCACCAGCCTTCCTGAATGTACTCATCTTGAGTAGCTGTGGCCTTCAAAGCCTTTGGAGTCTGGCTGACCTCCAGTGCTGCCAGGGAGAAGGGAGCTCAGCACTCTGGGCAGTGAGTAGAGTCGGGCTTCCTGCCATGGCCTCCAGGAAGGGAGGGGAGCAAGGCTGCAGGACTACAGGCAACATGGTCTAGAAACAGGCAGAGAGAGACCATACAATGACACATCAATGCCCCAGGCAAGCCAACTTACCTATGGGGCCTGTGTGGTTATCTTTCCCAGGGAGCTCTGGGAAACCCACTTAAAGGAGCATCAGTGCAGCTAGTGGATTATCTAAAACCTTCCACCAGGGCAAGGTCAAAGTCTCAGCTGCTCCCTGCCTCATGCCTGCAGCTGAGTTTCTCTCTTCCTTGCCGTCTGGGCAGTCATCCCCTTGCTGGCTGGCTTTCAGTGTCCTCTCACAGGAGAGATACTGCTTTCCAGGACCGCTACTCAATTGCTCCCTCATCTCAGCCATACTGGGGCACTGCTCTCACATGTGTTCAGCCCTGTGTGGCCACTGTCCCTGTCCACTGCAGGTGTGTAGACACAGAGAATAGGTACTAACACTCATGTATAGAACAGGGTGTGGACAGGGTTACAGCATGGTGGCCTCCAGGCCAAGAACCAGTTCCTAGGCTCTGAGCAGTGCCACTTACCTGGGCAAGGGCCCACTCTACCAAGGGTCCACCTGAAGGTCTGTGGGAGAGTGATGGCACACCTTGCTAGTTCCACTCTCCTATTGGCCCAGGGAACACCTGGCCTATCCAGCAGATGTGCTATTTCCCCATGATGGGGATGCTTAGGGCATCCCACCTGCAGAGGATGGGGTACCAATGTCCACTAAGTGTGCCTGTGTATCAGGCAGGCACTCAGCTGCACCCCTCATCTAACTTGCTCTGAACAGCCTCTCAGAGACCACTAGAAGATGCCTTGTGAACGGCTCAGAACCACAAAAATGACAAGGTATTCTGGCAGAGATATACCATGCCCCAGTCTTCTGTGAGCCTGGTGCTGCACAACTAGCCAAGCAGAAAGGCATTCAACACCTTTCCTGACAGGGCCCATAGTCCAGGGCCAGGATTTACCCTCTAGCCCCTAGCTGAGGACTGCAGCCTAATTACAACTAGATGACAGGTTCTAGGGCCATGACACAGCCAAGCTACAGCTCAGAGCACCTCATTTTATCAAAGCTGTCACCTCTCCCATCACCAGGAGCTGGGTGATTGTCTCTAATAGGTGCCAAGATAAAGCCAATGACCTGTCTGAAAAATGGGTAATCTCAAACCTGTGGGTTTCCTGCTACAGAAAAATTTAAATTGGCAGGATGAAAACTAAAAAGAAAGTCATCCAAAATGATCCAGACAGCAGTTCAATGTCAAGATGGTAGGCAAGGTATGCAAACCCACAGCCACATGGAGTAGACTGCCAGCTTTGTACCTGGGAGCCCACCCTGCATGCCTGGCACCAGGGTTCCATGGACTACAATTAGCCAGAAGAACAAGAGAACCAAAGACAGGAGGAGGGCCCCAAGACATGGCCAGGTAAGGGTGAGTATGTAGGAGCAAGTCCCTGGTTTGGTGCAAACAGGATGTTCTCAGCCAGAAAGTGGTGATTAGATCCAGGGCAAGGTGCACCTCCCCACAGCTGCCCCACTGCCTACCTGCAGAGTGTGCCGCTCCAGCTGCATCTCCAATATGTTTTTTTCTTGCTCTAAGCGGCTCCGCTCCCCCTCTAGCTCCTCAACCTTCAACCTGCAAAATAAGTGAGACATGACAAGGGAGCCACTGCAGCCTGTGGGCCACTGAAGAGCTGAGGGTGAAGCTCAAGAAGTCCAGGGCTGGCATCAAGAAAGTGGACACTCTCATAGGCACAGGGTGGTGAATGGCAAAATTGGCAATGTCTCAGATGGGGGGGTTGCTACCAGCGGGAGTCTCCTCCACTCAGCTTGGCTAGAGGTGTGTAGAAAAAGTCACAAGAGGTTGGTCCCAGGGGGATCCAGTGGGTTTCACATTCCAGGCCCTTGGAGCATGTGACCACATACAGGAGAAGATAGAGGAAAATTACCCCCACGGAGTCATCAAAGACATAAAGGATTCCCCAGGGTGGGGCATGGTAGAACAGAAAACTTGGGGCCTAAGAGGACCTGAGATGAGCAACAAACACAGGGCTCTGAGTGAGCTGTAGTCTGGAGGGCAAATCAAAACCTTGGCTGAGGCGGGAGCACAGCAGGCTCTGGCTTGCTGTAAGAAACTATTCTTGTCTTTGCTGTTAAGTTTATTTTTTAAAATACAAAACATTCACATGGTTTACAAATCAAAAAGTCTGTCAAAGCCCGTGATGGTAGACACAGGTCACCACGGGCAGCTGTCTTCCCCATCTGAAAAGATCTTATGATTTGGGAAGGTCTTGACTCATAGTGGGCAGAGAAGCCTGGGCCAAAACAGTCTGGCAAGTCACAAACCATGACTCAAAAGCACCACACTCTTTCCAAGAAACTGAACCACATCTCTGCAAAAAGATCAAATATATATATATATATATATATATATATATATATATATATATATAAAACTGTTTAGAACTCAATAAGCTGAAGTTCATAATGTCTGCCATCCAAGCAAAAATTACCACATGTGAAAAAAACAGAAAAAGTTGGCCCACAGTGAAGGTGATAATCAGTGAAACCTACCACAAGCTGCACTGGCATTAAAACTGGCAAGCAGGGCCAATAAAAGGGTTATTCAGACTGTCGGGACAAAGGGCCAGTGAAGTACAGACACAGAAGACAGAAAGACTCAAACTTCTAGAGGTAGAAGCAGCAATGTTTGGGGTGAAAACCACACAGGATAGGACTAATAGTGGATTAGATTCTGTCAAAGAAGTGTTTCCAGGGCAGGGCCAAATAGTTCAGCAGATTAAAGCACCTGCAAGCAGGTGCAGGGCTGGGAGTTCTATCCCTGGGCCTGGCGTGCTGGCCCCGTCCCCGGGGCACACTGAGAAGGCAACTGAGAGTGGGTATGGTGGAGTGTGCCTGCATCCCAGCTCTTGGGAGGCTGTAAAAGTCTGATCACTATGAGTGTGATCTAGTAGTGAGACCCTGAAATCCTGTAGACCCTTCCCTAAAATACAAAAAAAAAGTGTTTCCTATAGAGGAATGCACGTGATTGGGAACTATCCAAAATAAAATACAGACAGGAAATGGAATCTACAAATTAAAGGAGAAGCAGTGAGCTGGACAGCTTCATGAGGCACAAAGCTGGTATCCCCAAGGACAGAGGGGACAAGGGACTCAAAACTATCCAAAAGTTAGACTTTGGGACAGTAAGTCATGAGCCAGGAGCCCCAATAAGCCCAACACAAGAAATATAAGGACGATGGCTCGGAGCTGGTGAAAAGAAACTGAACAGCCAGGGACTGAGAACTCCTTGGCAGAGATAGATGCTGCCTGAAGAAGATTCAAGTTCTTACCCCACAGTACCACTGGGCAAGACCGGGAGACAGCTCTGATAATACAGAGGGGACTAAGAAGCAGCAACCTAAATTCTATACCCAGCAAAATACCTTTAAAAAACAAAAGCAAAGTAAGGAGGTTTTCAGACCTATAAAGACAGAATCCATCTCCAGCAAACTGGCTCTCCAGCACATTTCAGGAAGCCACTGGAAGGAGAGAGATGACAGCAGAAGCAAGCACAGCATGGGCACAACGAAGAGCAGGGAAACAGGCCGCATGGGGAGCATGTGCTTTACATATTATTTGCATCTTTTGAAAATATTTAAGTTATTAACTGTATTGTAAAGTGATCAACTTTTAGGCAAAACTAATAAACACACATTGAGAAAGTTTAAGAAACCATATAAATAAAATGTATGATGACAACAGCACAAAGCCAAGAAGAAGCCAGCATCAGCTGTGGGGTGGTTGTTCTCAATAGGAATATCACTGTTTGACAGTGGACTACACTGTCAGACAGACACTAAACCCCACAGATAACAAAGCAAAGGGTAACAGCCAAAGCAGCAAAAAAGAAAACCTCATTAATTTTAAAAAGAAACACTGAAAAAAAAAGTATCAAAGAGGAGATAGAACATTGGGAAAACGGTGAGATGGAAAGATGGAATCTAACCATAGTGGTAATCACACTAAAGTAAATGTAAATAGCACACTACCACTTACCCCAATTAAATTGGGTTGGTGGAGGGAGAGCTGAGAATCTCCAAAGGTCTTGGGTTTGGTCTCTAGTACCAAATACAACTGACAAAAAAATAAGAGAAATGGGGGTGGGGGGAGCAATAAATCCCAGAGCACAGGCCACCTGCAGGAAAGTCCTTTCCTAACAATAAGGAGGTACATTCATTAAAGCCCAGGTGAGCACAGACACCCTGCAGCAAAAACAGACAGGACAACAGGGAGAAACGAAATCTGTAGTCATAGTCACCTCATCTTCACCTTCTCCCTAAGTGAAAGAATCACCAGCCAAAATGAGGGACAGGCAGACTTCTGAACACTGTCAACCAGCCTGACCCGTTGAACAATATTTTGTGCTTTGTGAGAACAGGCTAAACTTTCTTGGTGTTTTCAAAGTATTCTCCAAGACAGATGTATGCTAAGCAGTAAAAGAAGATTCCATTGTCTGGATGAAAATGAGTAATTCTAAGTATGTTCTGACTATATTGGAAATAAATGAGAAATCAGTACTACAAAGGTAGCTGGAAAATATCACTTACAAAAGCATCCCAAACCATAAAAACTAAGAGATAACACGACAAGGCCACAGAAGGTCTGCATGGCGACAACTGCAGAGTGCTGCCGGATGCTAAGATGGCCTGTGAGTGTGGAGAGAAATACCTGTGCCCAGGTGGGAGGGAGGCTCAGCGCTGCCGTAATGTACTTCTCCCACGTGGATCTGCAGAATCACAGCAATTGTGATTGTCTGCTTAATCTACCCTTGCCATAAAAGGACAGATCCACATGAATAACACTGATCTGTGCATTTGAAAAAGTGTATTTGAACTGGCTATGGTGGCATATGCCTGCAGTCCCAGGATTCTGGGAGGCTAAGGTGGGAGGATCAAAAATTTGAGCACAGCCTGGGCAAGTTAGTGAGACTGTCTCAAAAAAGAAAGGACTGGGGATGTGGTTCGGAGTAAAGGCACTAGGTTTAATCTGTAGTCTTGAGAAAACCAACCTACCCTGCCCTACCCTGCCCCATCCTGTCCTGCCCCATCCCATCCCAATCCAACCCAAATCTGTGTATTTTCTTTTGCTGTCCTCCTTTCCAGGCAAGCTCTTACAGCAGGACAGTGAACGAGCAATTATAACCACATGTGATATTACACTTGGTTGTACAGTGTTGTTCCCATCAGACTGCCATCCAGTGAGAGTGGAGTGGCTCCGTTTGCATAAGTACAGCCCATGCTGCTCACACAATGACCTGCAGCCCAAAGGCATGCTTCTCAGACCTACCCTATCACCAAGCAATGCATGGCTCTAGATGTATACACATTTTTCACAGTCCTAAATTTAGTTTTTCCTCAATTTGGTTAAAGGAATCAGTTCTGGCTTAAGATTCTAAATCCTACTTTTCTTTTTTTGAATTCTGTATGTACTACTGAACAGAGAGATTCCCCAGACTGCTTCCTAAGAACAGAGCCAATCAAAACAGGTAAGTGCAAGTGAATGTGTGTATATGGGAACCAGCTGGAAATGTGTAGTAGTTATCTTGCTTAAAATACAGTAACAATATCAGATACACCAGGAAACACTGACTGAAAGAACTGTTTGTGGAAGCCTGGGCAGTGTGGGGATCGTGCTGCAGGCAAAGCTGCCTGTGGCCTGGCAGGACAGCAGGTGGACTGAGGGCCTCACACTGACTAGTCTCCTTCTGACCCCAGCCTCCTAATAGGCCTGTAGTGGTTGATACATGGGTCAACTTGAGAAGTTTAGATGTTTAATTAAGTGACTTAGCAGAGAGCCAAGATTCTTAGTTTGTAAATATCCTCATCCTCTGCCAGAGGAGGACATGGACACTGTGTGAGCCCCCAGGTAATTTGTTTACAATATAAGCAGGAAAGAGAAGCTTGCTAGAAGCTGCAGCTGCTGCCCTTCCCTTTGCTCTTTGCTGTTTTCTGCTCCAATGAATTGCTGCTCTCTGCCATGTGCCATTCTGCCTGGGAGCCAGCCGAGTATAGATTGAAACCTCCACAAACTGTGAGCTAAATAAACCTTTCCTTCCTCCATTTTGAGTGTTGGGTATTTGTTCCAGCAATGAACAAAAACTAACCAAGACAAGGCCCCAGTGACCTGTTAGAACACACTGCTGATATTTTCAGTGTGAGCAGATGTGGATCATTGATGGGAGATGACCGGACGTGGTAAGATAGCCACTGTGAGTGGCAAGAAGGGGAACACTCTCCATAGAGCAAACACAGACATAAAGCCAAAATACAGACAGGAAAGAGCAACATTAAAAAGGAACACCCTAAGTTGCTCAACAGAAATAATCCAGCAGAGTCACAGGTAGGGGGCAAAGGACTGCAAACAACAAATAGCAACTGCATGCAGAGATGGCCATGGTGGACTAAAAGGCAACCCGGCTGCATGCTGTCACTGCAAGATCCAGTCAAAGAAGTGGAGATAGTGAGAGAACATCCACACAGCACACGGTGGCAATGAGTCCACATGACAGGCACAGCACTCACCCGCCAGGCTAGAGCTGTGCTTGCCCCAGGGTTTGCACCAACACAGAGGAGC